GTGAGGTTAAGGGGCCCATAGAGAGAGTGGGCCCCTCAACAGTGTTTTGGATGGAGCACGGGTCCTTACAGGTGACTGCCAACTTGGGAATATACCTGTGTTCAAAGAAGAACTCTCATTAAATTAACAGTAGTGCCATTTGCTATATATGCCCTTGAAAAAAGGCAAAGCCATCAATGCACGTGGTTGGGTTTAGGTAAAAAGAACAGGGTTTGGCTTTACAGTCTGACAGGACGTGAACACAGCACTCTGAGGTGAAGGTCAGTGTTTGTCGAACCCATCCACCACCTCTCCTGCACATCCTACTTGGACTTTCACTACCATAACTTTCGTTCTACCCTTGATGCTGTCAAGCACTGTTGAACTATAACGGCGACTGTACGTGTATCATGCCAACGTTAGAGGACGGCTTTTTTCGTCTGGGTCTGACCCCACAAGTCACTGCCTTCAACACAGACTTCAACGACTTGGGAGTGTTGGTGCACAAACACATGCACTGGGGCCAATCACAACTACTGTTGTTGATGAAATAGCGATGATGTGAAGGTGATGAAGGAGACTCCACTGACACCATCTTGCTTGTATGTAGAAAGGTTTATTACAAGAAATCCAGCATCAAATCAAGCGCCTAGGACTGCCTGAGAGAGGGTTTGAAGCCAGTATGAACTGCTCTGAATAACAGCTCCAAATACCATGCCTATATAGAGTTCGGTTGTTTTTGTGAACTTTGAGACAAAATGAAACAGATGACAGAGAGACACCCTAGTTGGACTTCACCAATCCTTGACCTTGGCTATAAATACCTTCTTGACCCTGGGCCCCTAACTGATCATCAGACCCAGGACGTCACATTTCATGTAGAACTTCAGATACTACACTACCTTGCGCCCCTGTGTGTGACACATCCATGTCTTTGCATCACATATGATCACATCATCAGTTAGGTTATAAAGTTGTTTATTATAACTTGTTAATACATTTAAACCGACATCTTTAAATTAGTTTTTCCTAAAACTTTATTTCAATGACATTAGTTACAATTAAAATGTCAGTTTCTCTTTAAGTTTCCATCAGTTTGATTTCACTTTCACTCTGATTGCTTTGCTCACATCCTGAAAACATATTTCCACCAATAGTTTGGTTGTGTATCAGTCTTATCCTCTCCAGATTCTTGCAGCAGCAGCCGGCTGTTGTCCAGACTCTGCCCGTCACGTCTCACACACACTGGATGTGAGTGTTTCCTGTCTCAAGTGGAAACACAGGAGAGAATCTCATCCTCCAGTATCCATGGTTACAAGCTCGTCCATTGTTGCGACTTCCACAACCAGGATTGGATCTTGACTCTGGGGTTTTAATATCTGCTGCAGACGTGTGCACTGCACCAGTCAGTATCAAACATATCAACGGGACACAGAATTAAAGAGGTGTGTCCTTCCTTTAAGTGTTTCATGAGTCAGACGACCTGATCCACACCTGAGGTCAATATGTTTCCACCCCTGATAAAAACAAAGCTACAACCTGCCCTGCTGAGTGATCCAATGGTGCACCAGGACCTCTGTGAGGTCAATGTCCTTTTATTTGGCCTTCCCAAACAATATGCAGCCCTACTTTAATGTAAATATCCGTTTGTCGCTGCTGTTTGTTGTGTTTTTCCCGAGCTTGGGAGACAGGAATCATGACGTGGTGACGCAACCAGGAAATCCTCCATAGGCTAGACCGTCCCATTTAACAATGGTTGACGAGTCCTTCGTAGGTGCCTCCGAAGTACTAGCCTTCGAAGGACGCGGCCTACGCAGTCTCCAAAGGTTAGTCCTTTGGAGGCTGCGTAGGCCGCAAAGGACATACTGGTCGTTGCATAACATGAGGCATGGCTACTGCCACTGCACACACACACACACACACACACACACCTCTTACATACTGTACATTTGTATCGCAGGTGAGCTGATCGTGTTGTATCCGTCAAGAGTTGCAGCTTCAGTTTTCCCTCTAAAATCTGGTGTTATTAAAGACAATAGGTTAGTTGGAGATGAGCCAGGCCTGCGCAGATTCGATCATCAGCGATCGGCGCACAATGCATGCTGGTTAGTTTTGTGTCCGACTTCATCCCGACTTGCTCTGATGTATTACAAAAGTGGACGGCAATAAAACAGCGAGAGCGAGGCGGCTGCAGTTTATAGAGCCAGGCGCTGCAGCTGCTCTCCACCGACTGCACCGCCTGGCTCTCACCTGATCTAACAGCTGATTGGTTCAGATGTCGACTCAACAAGATGACGTTTAGATAAAGTTTTCATTTTTGTGCAGTTTTAGAGATTAAGATTGTATTTGTCTGACCTGAAGGTTTACTGTGTAACAGAAACATGTTGTGTGACTGATGGTGAAGTTTAGTCGTCACAGACTGAACACATTCATCATAAACCACACAGAGTCTACTGTGTGTTAACACTGGACTGTTACTGAAGTGTTTACCATCACACAGACTGGTGCTCATTCTTAAACTAACATGTGTACAGATGTGAAGCCCTGACTGTGTCTGACTGAGCCTTAATGAAAGCTGTTGTCTTGTATCAAATATGAAGCTTACAGTCAGACTCAGTGTATTCAGTCTCTGTTGCCATGGCGACAAGTCAAACTGATATGATGCTGATTTACAGCAGAGTTCATGAACCATGAACATAAACTACAGATCACCTGTAAAGCACTTTAATAAATTAATCTATCATAATTAAAACAACTGGAGACTGAGAACAAACTGATATATGGGTCTGATCACTTTCCCGAAGGATCCCGACAGAGGTGTACGTTTTAAAGTGTTTTAATATCAATTTAATATGCCAGTTTTCATGGGAAGAGGCCTATATATGGCCTCTTGGACCATTTATATCAGAACTGATTACTGCTTTAGCATTAAAATATATCATATTAAAATAGATTATATATTATTATTATTATTATTACTGTCCCCTTACTGTACAAACTGTAAATAAATCTTTATTCCTGACTGTGACGTCGCCATTAATGTGTTTCTAGTTAAAATATATATATTTTTTATTATTATTATTATTATTATTTGGTATTTTGGCTTATGGGGTGATTTTGAAGGAGTAATTAAGTTAATCTTCTCATAAGTGGATGTAATATGTATGTTTTGTTTTTTTTAAAGTCTATGTTTTGCTTTACAAAAACGTGAAAAAGCAGCTGTGACCAAGCTATCACGAGGTGAGTCGCATTGTAAGCATAATTAATAGCGATATACTTCAGTTTGTCTGTGTGTTTTTGTATGCAAGCGGGTCTGCGACGGTAGGACGAAACCATGGGCGAGTCTGTTGCTATGGGGCGTTCTATTGAGCTTCGCCTCTTGGTGTCCATGCTCTTTGGCGCAGTTCTTCTCAAACGAGCCTGTTTGCTCACTGCTTCCGGGTTGCCGCCGAAGCGAACGCTTTGATTGGCTGCTGGGGAAGACAACGACAACCTTTACATGTATGTCAGTCAGAGCCGCCACCTAGCGGCCTGGATGATCACACAGACACTACTGGAGGAAGTACTCGGATACTTTACTTAAGTATTAAAACTAAGAAATACTGAGATGTAAAAGTGTTGCATTAAAGGGATAGTGCACCCAAAAATGAAAATTCAGCCATTATCTACTCACCCATTTGCCGAGGGAGGCCCTGGTGAAGTTTTAGAGTCCTCACATCACTTGCGGAGATCGGCGGGGGGAGCGGCTAGCACACCTAATGGCAGACGGCGCCCCAGACTAACGTCCAAGAACACAAAATTGAATCCACAAAATATCTCCATACTGCTCATCTGTAGTGATCCAAGTGTGCTGAAGCCCCGACATAAAAAGTTGTTTGGAAAACGTCATATGAACTCTGTTTTTAGCCTCATTGTAGCCTGTAGCTCTGACTGCCTCTCTGTGCTCCGCACTCACGTGTGCGCGCTCAGGGTGATCGGTGATGCACGGTCTCTGAAGAGCAGCAGTCTCGTCAGTACTGATGTCCAGATTCTCAAGTGCAGGCATCGCCAACTCCCAGTTTGAGCAGCAAAGACTTTCCTCATCCGTTGGCATTGCTTTGCATTTGAAACAACTACACCACCAGGTTTCCAGTGCTCGACTCCGGTATTCTGCGGCTGGCTGAGGGTCAGGCTCATGAGCTGCGGCGGCTGCTTCGTCCAGTAGCCTGAGTTCCGTCCGTGTACTCGGGCTCAAACAAATACGGAAATGCTGTTCCTCCTCAGTTTCAAAGTCTTCAGACATGTTGGGCTGTCCTTTGCTAAAAGACCGTAGTGCAAATTATCTTTTAGCTCTGTGGTTACTGCTGTCTCCCCCTGCGGTGCACGTGTCACGTGATGTAAACACAGGTGAGCAAAGCTCATGCTTTCGCTGGTCTTGCACAGGCACGCACACGTGAGCGCGGAGCACAGAGAGGCAGTCAGAGCTACAGGCTACAGTGACGCTAAAAACAGAGTTCATATGACGTTTTTCCAAACAACATTTTATGTCGGGGCTTCAGGACACTTGGATCACTACAGATGAGCAGATCTCTGCAAGGGATGTGAGGACTCTAAAACTTCACCTGAGCCTCCCTCAGCATATGGGTGAGTAGATAATGGCTGAATTTACATTTTTGGGTGCAATATCCCTTTAAGGAGTGACGCCTCATGTGAACTGGGTAAAACTTTTAACCAATAAATTTCCCCATGAAACCTCCCTGGCTGATCATTTATATGAAGACAGTTATTTTTATTTCTGAAATGTTATGTTTGAGGTTTTATCTCATTGATTTGAAACATTTCCAGACATTTAATAAAACCAGGTTCAAAACTCTAGTTTCAGTTTGTTGACGTTAAAGTCAAAGTTTTTCTATCACTCCATAAATCAGAAAATACTATAGACAGCCGTAAAATATATTTTTAGGATGTTTCTCGGAGTGAAATGATCTTTAAATCAGGCTGTGAATGATCCCTGAATGTGACACACTGGACCTTTAAACTACAAACTTCTTTTTTTAATAAAATGTTTTATTGAAATCCACAGTTGTTCATGAAACAGCTGGAAAAGAAATTCTCAGCACAAAACCACAATTATCATAAGCTGACGTCCAATCAGCAGCGTCGTGTCTCCCACACTGATTGGATGACAACGCCTGTTACTAAGATACATCATCAGCTGAGTGAAGACAACATGGCGAGTGATTCAGAGTCCTGCAGCCGCCGGCCGTCCCGTCAACACCACAGTTCACCTCCACCGCCTTCAGCTGCACCACGACTTTAAAGCTGCCTACATTTCCCACAAGGCAGCGCTCAGGTGTGTGGCATAATCACCTGTCAAGGAATCGTCATGGAAGTGCAGCGAGTTAAAAAACTGACATGTCAGTGACGATTTTCAGTTTCTCCGAGTCTCTGCAGGACGATCCTTCACAGATTCAACATCAATGAAATCAAATATAAAATAAGGCATTTATCTTTTTTAATTCACGCTGACATCATCAACAGCCGTCACAGGGTTCCTGCAGTGACATCATCGACAGCCGTCACAGGGTTCCTGCAGTGACATCATCAACAGCCGTCACAGGGTTCCTGCAGTGACATCATCAACAGCCGTCACAGGGTTCCTGCAGTGACATCATCGACAGCCGTCACAGGGTTCAGTTTAAGACTTTTGAACACTTTTTTTAAATGTTAAGTCATTCACATTTTGGAGCTGCACGTCTGTTTGTTAGTGATCAGCTGATGATTTTATCAGTGAATCGTTTGATCGGTTAAATGTTATAAAACGGTTTCCTTCAGCCTGAACTGACTTCATTTAAATGTCCACTTTTACCAATAGACGTCTCTTAACCTTTATTGATCATAAAAATAGTTGATTAATTTTCTGTTGATCAAATAATCGATTAATTGACCAACTGTTGCAGCTTTATATTCTGACAGAGGAGCTTCAACAGGACTGGGTGTGCAGACGCCGCTCCAAACCACTGATCCATCTCACGCTCTATTTTACCTTCACTCATGAACAAGACCTCGAGATTCTTGAACTCTTGACAATTTAGAGTCACCAATTAACCTGCATGTCTTTGGACTGTGGGAGGAAGCTGGAGCACCTGGAGGAAACCCACGCTGACACAGGGAGAACATGTCAGAGCACCTGGAGGAAACCACGGCACTGAGGAATTCATTACTTCAACTAACTATATTAACCATCAACACTGACTGGACTTCCACATTAAAGGTGGCAAATTTTCCCTTTAAATTTCACCAAAGTTGAATTTGAAAATTCTGAATTAAATCCCGATGATTTCATTTTAGCTGCTGTGACGTTCCACAGTTTAACTGGTGGTGTGAACATGTCTTTACAGAGGTGAAGTCCAGCTGAACATCTGGCAGTGTTGTTGCTTCATGAACTCATGTCTGCAGAAATTATTTTGGAAACCAAGTCCTGCTTCCTGTGTTTTTGTTAAAAACAGTCAGTTCTTATTATTCCTCATAAACACTGAAGAGCCAATTCTTTATAGTAAAAAAACAAAAACCTTTGGTCCTGGTCCGACTGCGTCCGTCTGACACCAAGCAGCTTATCCTGGCTGAAATGTCTGAAACAGAATCTGACCTCAGATCCTGCAGAGATGGATGATGACATATGGCTTTGGTCCAACGGTCAAACAGAAAATCAGCAACATCTAAAAGTTGTCACGTCCCGCCTTCTGAGCGCAAAAGGAAAAAATCAAACAGCCGATTCTTGTTTTTCAGTTTCTGACATAAAACTCTGCACTTTTCTTGTTTCTGTGTTTTTCTGTGGACGCCAGCATCGACATGTGTAAAGGCCCTGACACACCAAACCGACGGTCGGCTGTCGACCAAAGTCGGGCCGTCGGTGAGCGTCTGTCGCCCTAGTTTTTGCGGTGTGTCCCGCACCGTCGGCACATTGCCGTCGGCGGCTTTTCGGCCGATTGAGCATGTTGAATCGGCGGCGGAGCTTGTCGGTGAGAGAGATCACTCTGATTGGCTGTTCAGGTTTTATTTCCTCGCCCCTGTAGCGAGTGAATCTGCCTGTAGTGAAACCGGGGCTAACCGGTGCTTCCTCCTCAGGCTCCACTTCACTCAGCTGCCCCACAGACCAGCTGCTTCTTCACACTTTAACCTGAATAACAAACCAGAGCTAGCTGGGAGCGGCTAGCAGAGCGTTAGCCGCAGCATGACCGGAGGGAAGCACAGCCAGTTAGCCTCCGCTAGTCTCTGAGCTAGCCCCGGCTCTCCGTTTGGATCCAACCGGAGCACCGAGCCCTGGTTTGTTATTCAGGTTAAAGTGGGAAGAAGCAGCGGGTTTATCGGGCAGCTGAGTGAAGTGGAGCCTGCGGAGGAAACACCGGGACCGTCTGGATGTAATAGTCCGTGGAGGTGCTGCGGTGCTCGGCTGCACAGATAGGAAACCCCTCGGCTGACAGGATGTACCACTCTCTCACTCCGCTCTCTCTCACGCAGGCGCAGAACGTACGTGCTACTTGGCCGTCGGATGTAGTCTGTGTGGTGTGTTCAAATGCAACTGACACAGGGCGACGTGAGGCGACGTAGACGACGCAACAGTTGGCTTTCGTCACCGCTAGTTCTTTGATGTCGGTTTGGTGTGTCCGCATCTACACAGTTTAAAACCATCTGGAGTTCAGCATGTTTTATTTACAGGGACAAATCCTTAATAACAGATTGTGTGGAGACGAGCTGAGATCTCATTTATGTCTGAGGACCATAAAAAATGTTTGTAAAAGAAGTTTTGACAGCGAGACGCTCCAGGTGAAACAGGTTTTTACATGCACTGGTCAGTTTGGAGATTTTGGGCTGTTTAGCTTCGATAACACGTCGTCTTTGGACTCAAACTGCACATTTAAGAGTTAATTTTAGTTCATAATAAAACAAAACATTTCAGAAAACTTGAGAATTCAACTTGGTGAATTTTGAGTGTATCAACAGAGTGTAACAGCGTTCACCATTTGGATGAACGTACACTTTGGATGAATCTAAGCCGCTAACACCACTTATGAAAGCACCTCGTCAAGGCTCAGCAGGAGATGAGCCATAACTCAAGTTTCTTTTGAGCGATCTCGATTAAACTCTGTGGACACATCAGATACTAATGTCTTTATCAAGTTTTGTTCATTTTGGATAAAATGAACAATTATTATTGAAATGCTGCAGACACGGTGATGGTGGGACAAGTTTGTGATTGGTCGAACACCTTCTTCAGACAGAAATAATCAAGCTGAGGTGACTTCAGTGTTGTGAAACCCAAAAGGGCTTTAACCTTTCCACGACTGCTTGCGGCTGTATTTGTTCTCGTATTTCAGGATCCTGGCAGCTTTGTGACGTCAGACTGGTAAGGAACGTTTTGAAGGGAGAGATGAATGAAGACAGAGAAAGTCGTCAGGTGTGAACCAGCTGAACTCCAGACGGTTTTAAAACACCAAACTGAATGTTTGTCCTGAGGAGAGACATCATCTCCTGCAACAGTTCGAAGGTTCGACTTCTACTTTTCCTCGTCTTTATTTTTACTCCACTTCATATCTGCACTGTGACTGAAGGTCAGAGATAAAATTATGAACAATCGTCAGTCTGAAGTTTCGATCCAACTGTCGCTCATATTTTCAATTTTACAGATGTTTTTGTTTCTTCTTCTGATTCATGTCGTTTATTCGCTCGGTCTGTTTCAGTTTTACGTTTCACACGACAGGAAGTTCAGACTTTTGTTTTAGATTTCTGGTTCAGTGTAAATTAAAACTAAAATATGTTTGTACAAACGATGAAACTCACTTTATGGGTCGAACAGTTTGAATCAGACGGAGCTGAGTTTCACCAGCCCTCTGACAGAGTCCTCGTGCAGAGCGTCCTGACTGGCGAGGTCGTACAGGGCAGCGGGGGTGGGGATAGGGGGGTGTGGGTGCAGGTGCAGGTGGGCGGGGCAGGGCAGGGCACCCTGCGGCGTGCTGCACGGCGTCTCCTCCGGGCTGACGAAGTGGTGGTGGTGGTGATGGTGGTGATGGTGGAGGTGGTGGTGGCAGTGGGAGTCGACGGCGGCGTCCCTCAGGGTCAGGACGTCCCCCCCGCAGGATGGCAGGGAGGGCTGGGAGGGGGCGAGGTAGGCGCAGGGACCCCCCAGTGTGGTGGTCTTCCCTGGCAGAGGGGCCAGGATGACGGGGTCACTGTGGAGCAGCGGGGTGGCTGCAGCCTGGAGGACAAACTTGGTGCTCTGGATGCACTGATCCTGATCACACTGAGGACACAGCGGGAGACAACAAGTCAATGAGCTGCTGGACGCAAGAGACAAACACTTCTGCTCACACAGCGGGAGTTACAGTGATCTACAGCAACACGTCACCCGTGTTTATAATTCACTTTCAGCACGAGGTGGTGAGACATGAGCTTTATCACTTCCATTAAACTGCTTTCTCATCTTGTACTGTTTAATAGACCTTTTTACTGTTGGTAAACAGTGTGATGTTTGTTGGTGGGCGGGGCTTAGCTGGAGGCAAAACAGTTCTCCACAGACATTAGCTAGCGCTAGCTAACAAGTTGTGTTGTCTGGATGGAGGAAGATGATGTGAGTGGTGCGTTCAGAAACACTCATTGTGAGTGTGGGAGCGCACTCTGACACAAACTGGAGCGTTGATAAATTGGGAGCGCTGTCTGAATGTAGCGTTGGGTTATCCAGAGCAGCGCACTCTCAGAGTGGCAGAGCGCACTCTGGACACTCTGTCTGTGGAGACGGAGCAGCAGAGCGCCGAGCGGAGTGAATGTGTGATTAACTTAACCGTTGGTTCATTCATGTAGAAATATAACGCTGCGTTTCTTCCACCAACAGGGCTCTCATTTTAGTGTAGAGCGTCAGACTGAATTTACCAACGCACCATGTCAGGTCACTCACTCTCCGGGACCGCCAGTGTTACTTGAATAAGTAAACACTGACCAACGGGACCAGACTGGCCGACCCGTATGCTCTCACTCAGTGGATGGATGATGTCACAGGAAGCCAATCTTACAAAGGAGGACCACACTTGTTTGTTTTGCTATGGAAGCTAACGTTAGCTAATGTGCTAAAAAGTTAGCGTTGCAGAGAAATCCAATCTTCCTCTTAATCCCTCCCCAGTTTCTGATGAGGTGGACATGATAACCCTTAATACACATAACCTTATTCATCCCTACAACAGGAAATACTTTTTCCCTAACCTGATATGAAGTGTGCGCTGCACATGTGAGCATTTTTGATGATGGCCTCCGTCCAGTCCTTTGGTCTTATCACATTTAACCATAGTTGTCTTTGTTTTTGTTGACGGGCAGTGGCGGCTGGTTTTGAGCCATGACTCCTTCTATTCTGGCTCCCAATAACACAACAAGACAAACACATTTTAACACTCCTATGGAGCCTACAGCCCTGTGGGGCTGATAACATGACGTCATCGTGATGTCGGTCTTAAAAAAAAAAACGTTGGCAGGGAAGGTGTTAAAGGTCATAGTTCAAAAGCAGAGGTGAGTGTCTGTGGTACGTTCACTGTGAAACACTATAAGTCCAAAAGTATGTGGACACTGGAACATCAGAAACATCCTAAAACAGATCAAAGCGGACAGGAGAGTGTCTACATACTTTTGGCTGTGTAGGTTAAGGGTTAGTATTGATCAGCAGTGATGTCATCCTTCACCTACCATGTGACTGTGCAGCTGGGTGGAGGTGTAGCTGGTCCCGTTGGACTGGGAGGACTGGGAGATGGTCTGTGGGGTGTCAGCCTGGATCAGTCCTCTCCTGTCAATCAAACTGGGACACAGAGATTCAATTCAAACTTTATTGTCATCGTGTGATCACAGTCTCACATGGTCGACACAGTGATGGCAGTTTGAACAGCTTTTAATCAGAGAAAACACCCTCACTGACCTGCATGTGTGTTACCATGGTTACATGTATGCATTATGGGATACACATGACCTTTATCAGAATCACTGATGGATTTTTTGGTTCAGCTATGATTGGTTCATTTTCTGTCACACCACATATAAACCACACCAGAGTCTGTTTGGAGGCGGAGCCAGACCTGCCTCTTCATTTGTTTGGTCCACACCAGGGTTTGATTGACAGCTTTCACATGAGCATTTTTTTTGACAACAGGTCAGGTGTGACATCACGCTGACATCATCTGTCAAAGATTTTTTGTTTGTTGATGATGATGCTGCGATGTATAAATGCCCTTGCCCTCCTAATCTGCCTCATCATGAGTCAAACCGTCTTTGAGTGTGTGTTATCTGTGTACATTTGTCTGACCCGCTCATCAGCACTGAAGCTGATCAACGTACTGCTGCAGAGGCCATGTTAGTTCAGAGAGTCGCACAATAACAAACACAGGAGGTGATGTAGGCGGCGGTCGACCAGCGGCTCCTTGTGTCCTGGGAGGTTTTTGTTAGATGAAGAGAGCAACATTACGGCTTCAGTTTCCTGTCAGAAAGGGCTGCCTGACAGCGAGGTGAAAATATGACACTGACACAACCCCACTGTGAAATTGAATTGAATTGAATTAACTCATGATCGGCACTCTGACCTACGTCACAGAGTCACTGAAGGGGTTAATTCAGATATTTCACAGTGGGGTTGTGTCAGTGCGCTCTGACCTACGTCATAGCTGCTGACAGCTGTGATGTAGGTCAGAGCGCCGATCATGAAGAACTGAAGCTTCATGATCGGCGCTCTGACCTACATCACAGCTGCTGACGGCTGATTGGACGTCTCCACACACCCCAAAGTGACGGCATAACAACACACAACATGAGATCACAACCACGTGTGTTGGTTGGTTTTGTTCATGAGAACCAGATCTTCTGATCTGTTTGACTGATGGAGAGATCGACCAATCAGATTCATGACTGAGCTTCATTCAAACAGCAAGCGCGTCTCCTTCTCCAAGCGACCTAGAAAACACCTTTTCATGTGCAGATGGAAGTCTCCACCTGTCGTCACCTGAGGTGTCAGCAGGTGGAGCCAACACACACACACACACACACACACACACACACACACGCACACCAGCTGGAGATGGTCTAACAAGCAGACTGTGTAATGAAGCAGTGTCCATATGCTCAGTCCTGAGGAACAAACGCCTTCATCTCTGCTGAACAACAATCTGACTTCATTAGTAAAACTTCTGCATTTAAAATCTTACTTTAGAAAAACGTCCTAAATATCATCAGTAAATGTACTTTAACTATAAAGTACTGTGTCTTCGCTGTTACGTTGTTACATGTTATACTGTCAGTTTAAAGGTTCAGGTCCACAGAGCTGCTGTTTCAGTGAGATGACTCATTGAAGACAAATCATTTTTTTTTACCACTGTTTGGAAGTTGTGTGTAAATGCTGCTCAAGAGATGTGACACCATTTGACCAGATGGGGGCGCTGTCATTACAGCCTAAAAACTGAATTTCAGAAAGGCCAGGCCCCTCACACAGATTCAGCTCAATGTGCTCTACAAAACATCCTCAAGGAGATTTTCAGCCATTTTGAATTTTTTGACAAACAAATTTTTGACGTCTCCTCCTAAACCGTGGGTGGAACTTGTACCACATTAACTGTGGATCATTATTGGACACAATTTATTTAACTGTATGAAAAGCTTGTTGATGTCTCACTAAATTTTGAATATACTAACCAATGACCTTTAGAGGGGGCGTGGCTTAGCACATAAACAGATCTTACTCCATAACGGTTGAACCAATCATCACAAAACTTGCAGGAAATGGCCACACAGGGACCTTAAACATATCCTGAAGGTTTCATTCAAATCAACAACTGTGTCAAAACAGCAGAAATGGGCGTGGCTTAACACAAACCAGACTATAACTCAAAACTCACAGGATGTGTGGAATAATAATGTTGAACATGTGAGTCAAATCATTTCTCAAAACATAAATCAGTGACAGTTCGTCCAAACATCACCAAACTCAGTGAATATTTTTAACTCCGCCATAAAGCAATTCCAAAAATGTCTATCCACTCAACCAATAGGAGGTGACAGTGTTTCTAAAGAGGGGCGTGGCCTGGCAGAGATTGGACGTAAATGAATGAGCATCTGTCTGATCATCATAAAATCTGAATTCAATAAACACAAGAAGTTTGTGCTCTAGAGAAAGGATCAGCACTCAGTGAAAACCCTAAGCCCTATGATAAACTATTATGGCAAGGCTTAACTATACAGACCAGTGAGCAGTGATAACTAGCATGTCTTTGGGGTCATCAGGTGGGAACCTCCTTTCACCAGTGTGTCGTCTAGTTGGTCCCACGACACCTCCAGGAGGCTAGACAGTGATCTCTGGCGTCCCAGAGACACTCCCCTAATGACAGGTCTCACTGCTCCCCACACTAACCCAATAACTTCCTTTACCTTACTTACACATTCTTTCTCAGCCCAAACAGCACTGCCACCTTCAACAAACCCAGGCTCCGTACATGCGAGCTCCAGGTAGAGACAGTGCTGATACTACCTTTCCTAGCACATTCACCATACTTATCGTTAATGCAGGCGTCACAAACTGTCAAAGGTCCTGATCCTACTCAGCTCTCAGGTTTTAAAGGTCCTTGAACCCTGGAACCGCTCGTGGTTAGATTTTTATTTATTTTTAATATTGTTCGCTGCTTTAATTTAATCAGCTATTCAACAACCTGATGTGTTTTATATGGTTTTAAAATATTCATCTGCAAAGTAACTTCAGGTTCCTGATAAATGTTGTCAAATAAATTTACTATCATGACTAAACATACGAGGAAATATTCCCCCGAATCAAACGTCATTTAATTAGTGCTGAATGTTTCTGCTCCTGTTGAATCAGAGTGTTTCAAACATCTACAGATGGAACAGATGGATTTTTCCTCTCTCTGATAATGAAGGATGGAAACATAAGAGTCAGCTGATCTCTGAGGAGGAAGACAAGTTTAATTACTGCGAGGAAGGTCTCAGCTGAAAACTGTCCTCATTAAACAGAATCACAGCGCCTGTTGAGAGGAAGAGGAGGAGGAGATGAAGCAGGTACAGCGGTGGACAGAGCAGTAACAGAGTACTTTTACTCAAGCACTGGAGTTTTTTAATAATAATACTTTTGGACCTTAATTTGAGAGGACAGTGGAATTGAACTCGTGGCCTTTGTACACTGGGCACCCGCTCTACCAGGTGAGAAACTCGGCACCCTGAATATTTCCATTCTCCTTCTCTTCCTCCACAGCTCAGATATCATACTTTTTACTGCTCTACATTTATCTGACAGCTTCAGTTACTTTACAGATTCAGAGTACTGATATAAAATCTAATCAATAATTAGTGATGATGATGTGTGGGTACACATGATGTCACCCAGCAGTGTATAAAGTCATTAAAATGAGCCCCATCTTCACCAGCTGATCGACGTTTAACTTAACTTTATACTTTTACTTAAGTAAACATTTTAAACGCAGGACTTTTACATGTAACAGAGTATTTCTGTGGTGTGAGTACTTCATTACTAATTTTATGAAGCCAAATTATCACACAGGAATTAAAATGACGTGTGGGGGCTTTGTTGTCTCCAGTTTATTGATTCTTTTCCATTAGTATTTGCACAGCTCTTTGAGTCTATTGTGATACTTGGGTCCAGTGGAGTGTTGAGTTGCTGACCTGGGAGGCAGAGGTCCACACAGAGCAGCACAGCAGTTGGTCAGGATGTTTCCGTAGCTGTAGGGGTTGTAGTTATCTTTCCCTCGCTTGGTGGACCATGACCCTTTAATCTGGACCAGAACCAGAGAGACCAGAAACATCAGGACCAGCTCAGAACACAATGTCACCCCGGTGGTCCTCAGACCACAGTTTTGTGTACTCACGTCCTCGTTGGTGGTCTGGTTGGAGCTGATGAGATACGTGTGGAACCCCGACAGACCAACGATCGACCAGACAGAGAAGAAACACACCACCACCTCCAGGACGGTGCAGAACAGGGTCAAGGACAAATCTCAGGTTTTAGAAACATTGATCATTACTGCGGATTATAGAGTCAATATTTCTGACATTTAAAATGTAATCCCACATTTTTATGAATGGAATTAAAGAGATGAAGATAAAGTTTGTCGTGCAGAGAAAATAAAATATATTTGTTCTCTGAACTGAGAAACATGAAACGTCATGCTTCTGAATTTTTGATCTCCAGTTGTTCTTAAATGAGTTCAGGAGTCACGGAGGAAACAGACATGAGTGTTCACAAATTAATAAATGTTTTCTTAAATTCCTGCAGACTAGTCACTTTGCTCCCGAAATAATTAATGTGCACAACTTTACAGATGATGCACAATACTGAACGCAGATGTGAAAGATAACACAACATTATCTGTGGAGTTCCACAGGGCTCCGCTCTGGGTCCACTCATTTTTTCTTCTCTTGGTCACAAACATAAAGTTTGTTATTTATGCTATGCGGATGACGCCCAGTTATACAAACTCATCATCAGAATTTAAATGTTTTGTTCTGATTTTGGATGATTCATAAATGTTCTTCATATTTTTTTAAATTATTATCTGTTGTGTTCTGTTTGAAAAACTTTAAATATAAAATGTAAAATATCTCTTAACGTTCTGTTCCACTAAGACATGAATACATCAGACATCAGACATGAATAAATCAAGAGCACCAAGTAGTTTTCTTGGTGCATTAATTACTCATCTGAACGCACAATTTGTCCACATGAAATATTATCTTTTTTCTCCATGAAATCTTCATAAAAAACACCAAATTTCCAACTTTGCTGCGTCCTTGTGTTTGGATCATAAAAGACACTGTAGTAAACATTATATCTAAAAATTCTGACCATCAGTTAAAAACATTTTAAATTTGTGCGTTGACTTGACGGTGCCGTGCAGCGAAAGTTAAATCATGGCTTTCCTCAGACTCTTAAAAGGAGATTTTTGTAAAAGGGACATCCTGATGTGATGAGTTTTTGTCCTCAGTTATGAGTCACGTTCTTAAAACCAAACACCATAATGCTCAAAGTCGTTAATTTCTAACCTGTCAGAGAAGAAAACTGCTGACAGGAAACTGCTGAGGCTTTGTTTCCTTTGTCTCTTTTTACTTATTCAAACGTGTTATACTGCGCCGTCACTGATGACGAGAGACAGAGGACAACAGTAGAAACAAACAGAAAACAGAAGAAGCTGCTGCAGCTGAATATTAATGTGTCCTCAGTGTGTGACAGAGTGACTTTGACCTTGGCGATGCATGATGGGACGTATTGATCCGCGGCCGGTGTCTGCGTCAGAGTCACTGATTGATCAGAAACACACAAACACATGAACCTGCTGAGACGGAGAGGAAGGTATGAGGGGTGATTAGTGCCTCTGAACAGGAGCTCTGTGGTGATGTTAAGACAAACAGTTCATATGAACACGTGTGTGAGTGGGTTATTATTCATGTTTATGGATTTAAATGAAACCTTTAAACAGTGAAAGGATATCTGGCCGGGCTGTCTTTGAGCGCGCTCAGGAAACCCGTCCGGTTCGATCCTGCAGAGACGACAACACGTTGGTTCATGTTACTCAGTTTAAAAAAGAAAAAAAAAAACCATTAAAAATATTTTGCATATAATACAGATATTTATTTTTTATAATATTTTTTCACATTTGCATCATTAACCTTAGTTTTGCCTTGTTTGGTTGGACTCTCTGCATTTCTGTTGCTTTATCTGAGTATCACATTTCTGCTTTTGTTTTGCTTCATAAATAAAGTTATTATTATTATTATTATTGTTATAATTTTTCAATTCTATTTGTTTCTTGACTGTAGTTTTATATTTTTATTATTTTAATGTTCCAGATTCCGGTTTGCAACCATTTGCTGCGTGTCACCCC